CACACAGTCTTTCTGGCCACCAAGGAGCTGGGCAGAAATATGCATGAGTAAAGAAACATGTTTTATTTGCCTTTTGCCAATTTTGTTAAACCAGAGAAAGACTCTCTTTTCTGGTGAAATTCTATGAGTGTTTGCTATAAATGAGAGGTGATTTTCATGAGTGAAAATTTAAACTTGCATGTGCCAAGTGCATATGTAGCATTTCTTCATAAATGTACGTAGTGAACAAGCGTCTTAACTGTGTAGTCAGCAATGTTCAGAAGCTCCCAGCAGAGAGAGCAAGAGAGCACGGGTCTTCAGGAAAACAACTTCTAAAGGATGCTGTGTTAGACATTTTTAAATAGTATATTTTTCATTTATTTCAGATGTGTTTTCCTTTTCCAAACAAAGTGACTTTGTTGCTTAATATTGGGGTGGAACAAAGAGAACAAAATAGGGAAATAAAAAAACAAAATCAAGAAGATAAGGTAGCAAAACAAGTGCTCCATTTTAAAAGATTCCCACCCCAAAGTTCCACTGTCACTAGCCTCTCACATCTTGAGAACTGCTATAGATCCTTTCAGACTTGTCATATGTATTACTGTTTAATGATTTTGTAATGTTCATAAGTCATGCAAACAGAATGTAGGCCACTAGTAATAGTCAGTGCACACTGTTATTTGCAATTGTTTTTTTTTCTTTTCCCCTAGTTTTCAGAACGTCGCAGTGGTTCTTTGCCAGCACGTAGCCTTGTCAGGGCCTGTTATGCACAACAGCTGGAATTTGATCTCATGGCCTTTGGAAGATAAGCAGAAAGTAAAATTGTTGTGCATCCCACGTGTCAACCTATTAAATACTTTATTTAAAGCTAACAGTCTCATTGGGAAATGGAAAAATTATTGTTATGAGCACTTTAGTCTGGTACTTAAGCTACAGTTAAGGCCCCATTTATGAAACTCACACAGCATTCTGCAGTACTAGGCCTCATAGTTACACTGAAGGAGAGCAAGGAAGAATCAGTTATGGAATAATTAAAATACCAGTACACAAGAAAAAAATATTTCTTTTGGCAAATACAGATATGTATTTCAAAGACGTAACGCTAGTCTGGCAAACTTAGGTCATGGACTTCAAGACCAAGACAAATCTCACTTACATTTTGACGAAATAACAATTTTGCTTATATATATATATAT